GAGAGAGAGAGAGAGAGAGAGAGAGAGAGAGAGAGAGAGAGAGATCTATGTGTGTATACCAGTGTACTACATGCTTGTGTGGAAGACAAAGGACAATCTTGTCGGCCCTCACCTTCCAGGCTGTTTGAGACAGAGTCTCTTTGATGCTGTGTACACCAGGTGAACTGCCCATAAGCTTTCAGGGATTCTTCTGTCTCTGCCTCCCATCTTGCAGTAGGAGTAGTGAGATTATAGATGTGTGCTATCCAATCCTGCTTAACGTGGATTCTAAGGATCTGAACTCAGGTTCTCACATTCCTCAAGGCAAGCACTATACCCACTGAGCCATCTCCCTAGTCCAGACAGAATTCTTTAGTGTACTTTTAAACTCTTAAAAAATATGGTACCAATGCATGTAAAATTTCTATCATCTTAAATAGATTCATATGTTAAGTACATTAGCCTGGTTACCTTAGTTATAAAGTAAGATAAAACTGCTCTTCCTAAACCCATCCTATTGTAAAACAAATATATAAGCTGGGCCTCAGAAAGAGGAAGTGAAGCTATAGACTGCAAACATGGAGAAAAGCTAAAGAAAATTCAAGTCAGAGGCAATCATACACAAAACCATAGGCCTACCAGAACATAACACATATAGGAAACATATCAGCCTGGCTGGGAAGACAGAGCCTAACAGTGGCTGGATTACAAAGGCAATCAGATAAAATCTGACAGACGCAGCTCAAAAGAGCCAACTATATGCAAAAACAAAGACTCTGAGATTACTTGAGAATTTTAATCAGGGTCAGTGATATGAACAGAACCATCCATCAGATTACAAACTGGCAATCAGAAGATACTCATTGGTTAAATCAATACTAATGCCTTCCATGTGCCAAGCTCTGTTTGGTATTCAGAACCCTAGAAGCTTAGTATTAAATATGTTTCTCTCTGTCCTTACTGATCGCTTCAGGGTTTTACAGTCAGGAAAGGAGCATCTCCTATGGTCTATAAGAAACAGGTGACTTAAACATTAGCTCTTCAAACATAAAATGCAAATCTCTGGTCATCACCTTTTGCTGAGCCACTAGCCACCATGAAGCCTCTGCATCTCAGAGGGTGATGAGCTATAATGGAAGTGGTAGCAATGTGAAGAACAAAGAACTGGGACAAGGTGGGCAAGCGCTCAAGGCTAAGCTAGGCCATACTCTTGCAGATGATCATCAAGGTGTTGGTGGGGCAGTACAACCTAGGAAAGGTCAGAAAAGGTTGCAGTTGTATAAATGAGACCAAATGCTCATTTGAGAGATCAAATTTCTAATGCAGGAACAACAAAAGATTAGCCCATCTGGTAGCAATTTAAAGCAAGGCTTGAGAGATGGCATAGCAGGTTAGAACGTTGGCTGCTCTTGCAGAGGATCTGAGTTTGGTTCCCAGCACCCACATAGTGACTAACCACTGTCCTTAACTCCAGTTCCAGGGGATCCAACACCCTCTTCTGATTTCCACAGGCACTGCCCAACATGGGTGCACTTACATACATGCAGGCAATATACTCATACACATAAAAAATAATAGTAATAAAATACTAAAGTAGGGATTGGGCCCAGAGAGGAGAAGCAGACTTACAATCTTACTGCTTGACCCTGGAATCAGATAAATCAAGGGTTCAAGGTCATCCTTGGCTATATACTAAGTCCAAGTCCAGGGCTACATATGAGACCTGGTCTCCAGAAACCAAAAATTAGCTGAGCAAGATGGCATATGCCTTTAATCCCAGCACTCAGGGGGCAGAAGCAGGTTGATCTTTGTAAACTGGAAGTGACTCTGGTCTACACTGCCAGTTCCAGGCTAGACAGGGCTACACAATAAGACACTACCTTTGAAAGAAAAAAAAAAAAAGGAGGGAGACAGTTCAGTGGTTAAAAGCACTGGTTGCTCTTGCAGAGGGTCTGGGTTTGGTTCCCAGCACCCACATGGCAGCTAACAACCAACTGTAACTCCAGTTTCAGGGGATCTGATGCCCTGTTCTGACCTCTGTAGACACTGCACATATACGGTGCAGTTACATATACATAGACAAAACACTCATACACATTAAATAAATTAATCTAAACAAGATTTTTTTTAATCAAAAAGTAAATTAAAAAATTAAAAGTCAGGCATGGTAGCACATGCCTTTAATCCCAGCACTCGGGAGGCAGAGGCAGGCGGATCTCTGTGAGTTCAAGGCCAGCCTGGTCTACATAGTGAGTTCCAGGCCAGCTGGGGCTATAGGAAACCCTGTCTCAAAAAAACAAAAAAAAAAAAAAAAAAAAAGAAAGAAAAGAAATTAAATGAAAATAAAGCATAGATAGGCAAACTGCCCTTACCAGATACAATAGACTAGCAAATAAAAAGCCCAATGCCAGGAATGGACTCCTTCCTTTGAAGCTGTTGACCAGGGGTATCAAAAGCCTTCAAACAATACTTCCATTGCCCCTGCTCTTCATTACCCAAAAGATCTTGACAGTAAGACTCTACTGCTATAGACACTACCTACATGAGCTATAGAACAAACAAAGAGAAATCAAGCTAGCACTAACCTCAAAGTTTCATCTTGTGGCTAGCTTTCATAGTGCTGGAAGGTGCTATGCATACCACAAGAGAAAAGTAATCATTAACCTTGCCCAACTGTGAATCCTGTAAGCTACAGTAACAACTGGTCCACCAAGAGATGCCTACTAGTGTAATAGTGGCACAAATGTTATGGGAGTAACCAACAGGTGGAGCCCATACCTGATGCTGATATCAAACTTAGGAACCTGCCACAGGGGACAATTCTGCTAAATGGATGTAGTATTAAACCAACTCCTAGTGACTTATCATTATACCTATAGATTAATGTCAACACTCATGAGAGAAGCTTCCTCATGCAATAAATGGTGTTTAATACAGAGATGCATAACTGGTTAACATGCAGAGAATAAGAGACTGAAGAGTGCTTATCCCTGAATAAGACACCTATATCAAAACTTCTGCCTCCCAAAGTTCAGGGATCATTGTGAAAGATGGGTCAGAAACTTTAGAGGAGCCAGAAGTGGTGGATGACCACAAGGAAACAAAATTTTCTGGACAGCTGGGCAGATATTCACAGGAACTCACAGTAATGGTGACAGCATACACAAGATTTACATAAGCTCAAGTCAGATAAAAATCCCAGCACAGAAGTAGGAAGTGGGGAAGAAGCCCTAATCTGAGCTAAGGAACTACTGGCAACTGATAGCTGCTGGGAAAGGGAGATTAAGTTTTAAGGGCATGATACTGTGTAGGTTAACTAACTCCAATGGATAGACCCACACCAAAGGCATTTGAGGGCACAAATTTGACTTGATAGGCCTTAAAATACATATATGAAGAAGTACAAAAAATCAGGAGGGGAACAGTAAGAGGAGGTCTAAATATGATCAAAAAACATTGTATGAAATTCTTTTTTAAAAATCAATTAAAATGTAAAAGAAAAAAGTAAATAAAAATAAAAATTACATAAAAATAAAGCATAGCTTGACAAACTATGGCCTGTAGCCCAAATTTCAGCCACTACCTCATTTTTTTCTTAAATCACACTTTATCCAACACAGCCCTGCCCATCTGTTTATGAATTCTATGGCAGTCTGGGGGTTATAATAGCAGAGTGGAGAGTTGCCACAGCACTATACAGCCTGGAAAGCCCAAAATATTTTACTGTGTGGTCTTTTATAGAAAGCTTGCCAACCTGTGGCTTAAAGGACAAACAATGTTAAACAGGGACAAGGGCTCTGGCCTAGAGTCTACTGAACTCCAGCAGAGAAAGAAGACTATTTGAGAGAGAAATGAAATGCACTGAGACTGAGAGAGAACACGGAGATGAAGTTGCAGGAATTCTTCAATGGACACAGAGGAAAAATCAGAGATGGTAAGAGAAACAGGGCGGCAGCCAGAAGGTCATTCACAGCAACAGACCCAGGAAAATGAACTGGTTTGGTGAAGATAAAATAGGAATACAGCCGGGCGTGGTGGCACATGCCATTAACCCCAGTACTCGGGAGGCAGACTCAGGCAGATCTTGATGAGTTCAAGGCCAGCCTGGTCTACATAATGAGTTCTGGGCCAGCTGGGGCTACAGGGAGACCCTGTCTCAAAAAAGACCAAAAGAAAAGAGTACAAATGGAAAACATTTCCTGTGAGACATACAAATCCTAAATAACCCTTAGTCTAAGGGCTAGCCAGGTAACAAGTGCCTGGAGTTCAGCATGCAATGTATCCTGGACTGGAGAGACCAGAGCTGGACATGAAGATGCTGGGATCTGCAGCTGAAGTTATGATGGTGGGTGAGATCACGAAAGGACAGAAAATAAAGGTAAGTGGAAGACAGAGTGATGGAAGCAAGAGAAATAGTCATGTGCAGTTAGGGAGTGAGGGAGAAAAGCCAGCAGAAGAGCCAAAATACATATGATCATGTACTTAGGTAATCTGGCTGGAGTATGAAAAACACTACCAAGATCCCTAGGAAGCCTCAGGGCAGCAGCTCAGCAAGAGGCAATCCAGCAATACCATTTACCTTCTGGCCCTCCTAAGTCTAATTTTAGGGGTCCCAGACTAGCAGCCCACACCTGTGGCCTCTCCTCTGCACTGCACTAAATGAGCAAACCACCAACATCAAGTGAGGAACAAATTACCCATGTTCTGGCAGTGGCAGATGACTAACCATCCATACCAGAGCTCATGTGTACACCTTGTCAAAACAGTACAGGCAAATGCATAAGTTCATCCCTGGGAACATGCAGCACTAGAGGAAATGAGGAAACCACCCAGGCAGAGATAACAGTTCTCAGTGAAAATGCACCATGCACTCTGAAGGCAGGAGTCACTTACCGCAGGCAGGGGACAGTAGAACTGATGAATTGTATGCATGACATCCAAGAGCATATTGTGTCCGATAACTAGCTTCCCCTAGGGAAGGTGAGGAAAAGCACATCAAAATTATACCGGGGCTTAAGAGTAACATGGATGCTTCAGATGAAGCAGGGTCTCACAATGTAGCCCAGGCTGGCCTACTTCTCTATGTTACCCAGACAAGCCTCAAATTCATGCTCCTCCTGCCTCAGGTCTCAAGTGCTGAGATTATAGAAGTGCTCCATGATGCCCGTTCATAATGATTTTGCTTTTTTCCTGTATTGTTAATCCGCTCAAGACTCTGAAGTAGGTTTTTTCTTTTTTAATATTTAATTTATTACTTTTATTTTATGTGTATGAGTGTAATGCCTGTATGTAGGTAAGTGCACCCGTGTTGTGCAATGCCTGAGGAGGACACAAGAGGCTGTCGGATCCCCTGGAACTGGAGTTATGGACAGTTGTCAGCCACCATGTGGGTGCTGGGATTCGAACCTGGAACTTCTGCAAGAACAGTCAGTGTTCTTAACCACTGAGCCATCTCTCCAGCCCCTTTTTAAATTTTTTATTGTATGTGTATTAGTGTATTGCCTGCATATGTGTAAGTGTCCTGCAATGCCTGCAGAGGACAGAAGAGGGTGCTGAATCTCCCCTGGAACTGGAGTTATGGATGGTTGTTAACTGCGATATGGGTGCTGGGAACTGATCTCAGGTCCTCTGCAAGAGCAGCCAGTGCTCTTAATCACTAAGCCATCTCTCTAGCTCCTGAAGTGGTTTTTTGTTTTTGTTTTTGTTTCTGTTTTTGCTTTTGAGACAAGTCTTGCTAACTTGCCCAGGCTGGCCCTAAACTCCTGGACTCCTTTTTCCTTAGCCTCCCCAAGTGGGTGGGACTATGGAGTGCACTACTACTACTGTGCCTGGCTAGGTGTAGTAAATTTTTAACTGAAGCACTTTTTGGTGGGGGGGGGGGTTGTTTTTTGAGACAGGATCTCACTATGTAGCTCTCACTGGCCTGGAACTTAGAGATATCCACCTGCCTTTGGCTCCTGAGTACTGGGATTAAAGGTGTGTGCCATCCAGCTGATTGAAGCACTTTTAAATAGTAAAATCAGGTCCTGTGACCTGTCAATAAGCTGTAATAAATTTTCAAATATATAGTTTTTAAGACTTTTAAATGACATTTAAAAACATCTTTTAAAAACAAACCTTTTTTTTTTTGGTCTTTGTAAAGCAGGGTCTCCCTGTAAGCCCCAGATGTCCTGGAGCTCACTATGTAGACCACAGAGACCTGCCTGCCTCTGCCTCCCAAGTGCTGGGACTACAGGTGTGCGACACCACGCCCGGCAACAAAGATAAATTCCTTTTGTTTTTTTCAGTCTTTTTTGAGACAGGGTCTCCCTGTAGCCCCAGCTGGCCTGGAATTCACTATGTAGCCAGGCTGGACCTTGAACTCACAGAGATCCGCCTGCCTCTGCCTCCCAAGTGCTGGGATTAAAGGCGTGGGTCACCATGACCAGCCAAAGATAAATTCTTAATAATGCTATAAGGTGTAAAAAAATTACTGATACTATTAAACACAATTTCATTTTATTGTTTTTTAATTTACTATTACTATTATCTTGTGTTTATGCATGCAGGGGGAGCAGTTTGCGCATTCAACAGTGAGCTTATGGAGGTCAGAGGACAATCATGAAATCAAGTTCTCTCCTTCTACCTTTATGTGGATTCAAAGGCTCAAATTCAAGTCGCTAGATTTGCAGAGTAAGTACCTTTACCTGCTAAGTGATCTGGTTGGCCCTCAGTGCTTTTCAATCAACTGAAATATAATAATAATAATAATAATACTAATATGTATAATAAAGTACTCCATTTTGATAAAAACTAAACTACCAATATTACCTTAGATTTAGCCAGTCACATGATAAGATTTTTTTTTTCTTTTAAGTCTTTTTGAAGCAGGGTCTCCCTGTAGCCCCAGCTCCTGCCTCTGCCTCCCAAGTGCTGGGACTACAGGTGTGCACCACCACGCCCGGCTGTTGTTGCTTTTTTAATGTTTAGTTGGGGGAGAAAGCAATAAGACAGGGTCTCCTGTAGCATGTAGCCCAGGCTGGCCTTGAGCGCCTATGTAGCTGAAAATGACCTTGAGTTCCTGCTTGGGATTACAGTCCTATGCTACAACATCCAGCTTTGTTTTTGGCTGTTCGCTTTTTTGTGGATTGGAGAGATGTTTTGATTTATTTTTGTTGACACAGGCTCTGTCTCTGCAGCCTGGGCAGGTCTGGAACACACTGTGATGCCCTGGTAAGCTGACTCCATTTTTCACATAAAGCATCAAGTTACTACAGTGGGGCTTTTTCAGAAGTTCCAATGGTTCTTCAGTGTAACTCTGCCAGACCCTCAGAGCTCAACCCAATTCCTTGACATAATTAATCTTATACAAAATCTCCCAAATTTAACAAGCGATGCTTTAGCCTCAATATCTGTGTACACTGAGTCCCTAGATAATGTTAAAACACCGTGCACTGATGGAAACCATAGAAATGGTGTGTGAAGGACTCAAAATGGAGCCCACGCACTAATGAATGAATTTCATTGTGTTGTAAATGAATCCCATAAGCAGTTAAGAGGTTGAGAACATCTTGAACTAGACACAGTGAGGTCAAAGACAGGAATTGCTGCACAAAATGCTACAATCTGGTCAATATTGTACTTCTCACAAGTCTGGGCTAGTAATCTAGAACTGAAAGTTCAGATGATTCAGTGAGTAAAGTGTTCAGCTCTACAAACATGAGGACCTGAGTTTGGATCTCCAGCATTCATGGGCACAGTAGCACATAGGTCTATAATCCAAGCACTGGGGAAGGATATCACTGGCCAGCCACCCTAGCTGAATCAGTGAGCTCCAGGGTTAGTGAGAGACCGCGAATCAAAAAAAAAAATAAAATTAAAATAAAGGAAGGAAGGCAGAGAGAGCGACTGAGGACAACTGACCACCTGATATCAACATCTACCTACACATAGGTCTGCACATGTGCACAGACCCCCACACACACACACACACACAAAAACAATAATAATGACAATCTGGAACTACTTTATATGTGTACCCAGTTTAAGCAAATCTGTATAATGCAGATAAGAAGAAGTGGATTTCTCACCATTGGAGAGCAGAGTTATAAGAAAGGAAAAAGTAGGATAAGAATAAACTCTGTGTTATTGTGCTGAATTTAAATTATCACTATAAGCATGGGTATATATATTGTGCATGCTCGCATTCCTGCATATTGTGATGAAGGGGATACATCCTGAAAAATGCATCATTAGGCAATTTCATTGGGGAAATATCATAGAAGGAACTTACACTAGTACAGATGGCACAGCTTCCAGGGTGTCCAACCTTCTGACACTGCAACATGATGCTGTGGTCACAAATGTGTTGGACCAACCACATCCATAATTATACTAGGACCACAGGTGGATGGTACACCCTACTACATACCTGGGCTGTGTCTTTATTTAGCCTACTACTTTTATTTTGAGACATAAACCTGTACAGTATGTTACTGTGATGAAGTCTGCAGGAAACTATTAGCACAGAAGCAAGAATTTATGCATCTAAACATAGAAAAAGCACAACAAAAATACTAAGAAATGAATTTTTCAGCTCCATTCTTATTTTACAGCGGAACCACCATAGCACCTGCATTCCCTCAACAAACAAACATCCTTACACAGCACATGATTGTGTGGACACACATACACACATAACAGTTATCCCAGAGTATCCAAAGGTGATTGGTTCTAATCTGACAGCAGTTTAAAGCAGGAATTGAAGGGGCTATAGAGCACTTGCTGTTCTTCCATTAGACTGGAGTTTGGCTCCCAGCACCCACATCAGGTAGCTCACAACTGCCTTAAACTCTAGCTCAAGGGGCTCCAATGATCTCTTCTGTCCTCTGTGGGCACCTGCATGCACATGCTCACACATCCACTCAGATACACACACACACACACAAATAAAATATTAAAAAACAAGGATTAGCCGGGCATGGGGGTGCATGCCTTTAATCCCAGCACTTGGGAGGCAGAGGCAGGCGGATCATTGTGAGTTCGAGGCCAGCCTGGTCTACATAGTGAGTTCCAGGACAGCTGGGGCTACAGGGAGACCCTGTCTCAAAAAGACAAAAAAAAAAACAAGGATTAGAAAATACACCCTGCAGGCCACACATCCAAACATAGATCTTCCATGGATCCTGAAACACTATTCCCTTACATAAAAATGGCATAATAATTGCACAGAACCTATACACCTCCTCCTATAAATGAAGTCATCTCTAGCTTATATGTAATATCTAAAATGATGCAAATCCAAGTAGTTGTGCTACATTGTTTAGGGAATAATGACAAGAAAAAAGTCTGTTCATGTTCAGTATAGTCTTTTTTTTTTTTTTTTTTTTAATTTTGGTCTTTTTGAGACAGGGTCTCCCTGTAGCCCCAGCTGTCCTAGAACTCACTATGTAGACCAGGCTGGCCTCAAACTCATAGAGATCTGCCTGCCTCTGCCTCCCGAGTGCTGGGATTAAAGGCACTCACAATCAAGGAAGCTCATAACCACCTGAAACTCTAGCTCCAGGGAATCCTACACCCTCTTCTGTACTCCACAGGCAACTGCACTTAAACATGCACATACACACACACACATACACATATACACAACTAAAAATTTTGAGCCAGGTGTTATGGCTCACACCTTTAGTCCCAGCACTCAGGAGACAAAGGCAGGCAAATCTCTGTGAGTTCAAGGCCAGCCTGGTCAACATAATGAGTTCCAGGCCAGCTGGAAGACAGAAAGACCCTGTCTCAAAAAAGACAAAAATAAACTTTTTTTGAAATACATCTGCTGGGGCTAGAGAGATGGTTCAGGAGTTACGAGTGCTTCCTATTCTTCCAGAGGGCTGAAGTTCAGTTCCCAGCACCCTCAATAGGCAGTTCACAATCACCTGTAGTTCCAATAATGCCCTCTTCTTGGTTCCTGGGCACCTGCACACACGGAACACATTTGCAGAAAACATACACGCACATACACATAAATGAAAATAAAAATAAAGTTTTAAAATATAAAATAAATCTGGAGCTGGAGAGATGACTCAGCAGTTAAGAGCACTAGTTGCTCTTGCAGAGGACCCAGGTTTGGTTGCCAGCACCCACATGGTGGCTAACAACCGTTAACTCCAGTTCCAGGGGGCTCTGATGCCCTCTTCTGGCCTCTGAGGATATTGCATGCACATGGTACTCATATATGCAGGCAAAACACTCATACACATAAAATAAAAATAAACTAATTAGTTTAAAAATTAAAATAAAAAAGAGTAAAGCACTTGCCTAGCAAATAAATAATGTGTTTATTGTTTACTGGTTTCATAGCTTATTAATATTAATTTTAAAGAGCAAAAAAAAAATCTTAACATGCCTAAGATATGAAACTTTTTTTTACTTTGTTTCTTCTAGATCCAAGGAACTTGATTTTATTTAGATCTTTTTATTAAACTGAGTGTTTAGATAGATTCATAGCAGCTTTCCAGTTTTCATATTTACCCAGGCACCATAGTCGGTCTATTATTATTATCTTCTATAGTTTGTCAAAGTATACATAGTCAAATAGGAATGTAAATCTCTCCATGTACAGAGTGAACAATGCCTCACCTTTGAAAAGTTGACTGAATTATTATGCTAGCTGATGAGGGATCAAAACTGAGGCCCCGTGGTTCAGAGCCAGTCCTGCTTAGAGGTATGCTGGCTAAGTGTGTACACACAATCAAATGCAACCAGAACTCAGCTCAGCCTTTCTGGATACCTGTGTTCTTTTTCCTCCCCAGGTTTGCATAACTTTCTGTTCTGTACTGTTTCTCTGTCTTACTTCAGCAAGCAAGTTCCTCATGACTAATGCTCTTTTGTATAAGGCTCTGTAGTGTCTATTCCCAAATAAGGACAGTGGTGTACCTGCCTTCCATTGCCCCTATGCTGACAGGTCTGTACTGGAGTCTGAGAAGGTCTTGATGACTAAGCATTTAAGGGACAAAAGAGCTCCTTCTTGGAGGCCCGACTACTCAAAGAAAAGAAAATCTTGTATTTCAGGTGATCTAGTATCTATGCAAGTAGCATGACCTGGTTTACCTATGCAAAATGTGGATGTCCTTCAGAAAGAAAACAAGGGAATATTCTACCACAGACTTCTCTACCACATTTAACAAACAGCCAATATATTTTAAAGCTTATCAAGTGTTACTAAAATTATCAGATGATACATTTCAAGATTCAATTACAGTTATGGAGAAGTCAACATAGGCATAATTATTTTATCCTCTGGATTCCTCTACTTGGGGAATGAAACACCTTTAGTCAACCATCTCAGTTTTCTCCTTATTCCTAACTTCTTACTTACTGGTTTTCAGAATAATAAACACCAATTTTGTGTAGCTACATAAGGACATCTTAGAATAGACTAAGCCTCTATGTGTTTTTACAATAAAGACTCTGAAAAATGGTTTGGATGCAATTTAATAAAGAAGATCTCTTGCCAAGGGCATCGTATCCACAGCCCACCCTATTAACTCTAACTTCTTCCTCTATATCAGATATATGTTCTAAGGAGACAAAATGAGTAATTTGTAATACTAATTTGATACTTTACCTGAAATACTCTGTTTAGCCATTAGGTAGAAACAACAACCAAAGTGTGGATCAATCACTTACCGAATTAGCAATGGCATGGATGACTCTTGAAAATCCCACAGCATCATTCAGCTCCTCCTAAGTAAAAAAAATTAAATTTAAAAAAAAAAAAAAAATAGGGGGGCTGGAGAGATGGCTCAGTAGTTAAGAGCACTGACTGATCTTGGAAAGAACCTGGTTTTAGTTCCCAGCACCCACATGGCAGCTAACAACCATCCATAACTCCAGGTCCAGGGGATTCAACACCCTTTTATGACCTCCGAGGGTATTAACGCATGTGGTGCACTTACATACATGCAGCAAAATGCTCATACACATAAAATCAAAATAAACAAACAAATAAATAAGATGGCTCAGTGGGTAAAGGTTGCTTGCCACACAAGCCTGACAACCAGTTTGCTCACCCAGACCTACATGAAGGTGAAAAGAGAAAAGTGACTCTACAAAGCTGTGTGTCAGCCTCCATATGCGTATACCATTACACATGCACCACACACACATCGTAAATATACACAATAATAACAATGTTTTTAACATTATTCTTATATATAAAAGCACACTACATTCTTTATTTGAAGGAACTAAAAACCCTAGCTTCCCCCAAAATGAAACTTTACATCAAGTTAAATAGCTTTAGTGTCATGAGGTTTGTAAGGTGTTTTTGTTTTTTTGGTCTTCTGTCTCTGTAGCCAACTGGCCTAGAACTCACTTTGTAGACTGGAACTCACTATATAGACCAGGCTGGCCTTGAACTCAGAGATACACCTACCTCTGCCTCCCAAGTATTGGGATCAAAGGCATGCACCACCACACCCGGCTCATGTCACGATATTTGTAACAGTTATTTGAAACTACATCTAAAATTATATACCTAGGGAGCTGAAGAGATGGTTCAGTAGTTAAGAGGACTTGTTGCTCTTGCAGAGGACTCAAGTTCAGATCCCAGCATCCAAATCAGCTGGTTCACAACCTATAACTTCAGTTCCAGGGGATCCAACACCCTCTTCTTCTGCCCTCCAAAGGCACCCACACACACAGCATAGACTCACACAGACACATATATATGCACATAAATAAAAAAAGAGATCTTGCTGGTGTGGTAATTCACGCCTTTAATTGCAGCACTTCGGAGAAAGAGGCAGGCAGATCTCTGTGAGTTCAAGGCCAGCCTGGTCTACATAGTGAGTTCCAGGCCAGATGGGGGTACAGGGAGACCCTGTCTCAAAAACAAAAAATTTTTAGAAAGTAAAAATAAATGAACAGGGGCTGGAGAGATGGCTCAGTGGTTTAGAGCACTGACTGCTCTTGCAGAGGACCCAGGTTCGATTCCCAACACTCACATGGCAGCTATGAACCATCCTTAACTCCAGTTCCAGGGGAATCTGAAGCCCTCTTCTGACCTCCACAGCATTGCACGATGTAGCAGGAGGCCTCTAAAGATGGCGCGGACCCAGAGCCCTGGGATTCAGCAAGAATTCACTTCACTTCTTGGTCTGCAAATAACCGCCAAAAGGAGCCCACACCTCCGTACCCTGCTCGGGAGCCCAGTGACTGCTGACAGACTGCGTGGCGCGGACCAATCAGAATACGATATGCTGACTAAAGGGACTTGGGGGTGGAGAAAAGGGAAATATAAGGTGTGCCTCCTCCGGCATTAAACGTGTCTGCAGCACCTCGCCTACCCCCCAGTTGCCTAGGGACCCAATCCAGGTTAGGGTCTTCACAGCTGGCCTGAGGAGAACCCACAACAGCACGACACGGGTGCACTCATATACATGCAGGCAATACACTCATACACATAAAATAAAATAAATAAAATATTAAAAAATAAATAAATGAATAAATAAAACAGTCTAACCACACCTTCAGTTTTAGAATGAAGAAGCAAGTCGTAAATTATTCATTAGTCACTAAAACAATACAACCCAGAGTTTACCTATCACTTCAGAAAATTGGGAAGGGAGGTTGCGTTTTGAATCAGGATCTCATGTAGCCCATACTGGGCTATGGCCTTAAACCCATCATGCAGTCAATACTAAAATTGAACTCCTGATCTTCCTGGCTCCATCGTCCAAGGCTGGGGACTAGAGGCATGCACCACCATACCTGGCTATATGATTTCTTAAAATGTCCAAGCTAGATAACTTAAAAAATAATAATAACTGGGCTGGAGAGATGGCTTAGTGGTTAAGAGCACTGGCTCTTCTTACAGAAGACTCGGGTTTGAATCCCAGCATACACATGGCGACAAAAAACCCATCTGTAACAACTGTTCCAAGATATGCAATACCTTCTTCTGTCCTCCATGGGCACTGTATGACATGGGTGCACTTACATAGCATGCATACACAAAAAATAAAAATAAATCAAGCTGGGCATAGTGGTGCATGCCTTTAATCCCAGCACTCGGGAGAAAGAGGCAGGTAAATGTGACTTTGAGGCTAGCCTGGTCTACATAGTGAGTTCCAGGCCAGATGGGGCTACAGGGAGACCCTGTAAAAAAAAAAAAAAAAAAAAAAAAAAAAAAAAAAAAAAAAAAGGTGGAAGGTTGGAGAGATGGCTCAGCAGGCATGAGCACTGGATATTCTTGCAGGGGACCCAGGTTCAGTTCCCAGACCCCACAAGGTAGTTAACAACCATGTGTAACTCTAGTTCCAGGAGATTCTATGCACTCTTCTGGCCTCCAAAAAATTTTTAAATAAATAATAAGGAGGAAAGGTCAACGAGACAGCCTGGCAGGTAAAAATGCTTCCTGAACAAGCCTAATGACCAGATTTCAATCTGCAGAACCCATGTAAAGATCGAAGGGGAGAAGAGACTCCACAAAGTTGTCCTCTGATCTCTACACATGTGCCATGGCACATGCACCTACACAGACATCATACATAGATACACACATACACTAATAGATCCTTTATTAAAAAAAATATGTATTTTAGCTCTGTGCTTCCTGGGCTGCTCAGTCTCCAGTGTCCTGGTACCAGTACCTAAGTCCAGCATGCCCAGCGCGCCTTGACTCCCCCAGCCTCTTTCACCCTCCCAGCGCCCCCCCTCCAGTCTCTCCTAGTCTGGGTACAGGCCCAATTCTTGTCTTGTCACCCCAAACACCTGGGCTAACTGTTCAGCCCAGAGCAACCACTGCTTCCTGATCCGTTGCATCAGGACCAACTGAGTTCCTTCCTGCGGGCCCCCAGGAACCTTCTAGGCCTGGTCCCGCCCTCACCTCCCTTTACTTCCCCAGGCTGCACAGCCTCTGGGCAGCCTTGGTGCCAGCACCTTTCCTGATCCCCAGGAGCCCTCTGGACCAGGTCCCACCCTCATATCCCTTTGCTTCCAGGGCTGCACAGCCTCCAGTGTCCTGGTACCAGCACCTTCCCTGGGTAAGTCCAGCATGCCCAGCATGCCTTGACGCCCCACGCCTCTTTCACCCTCACAGCTCCCCCCACCCCCAGTCTCTCCTCCGAGCCTGAGTACAGGCCCATTTCTTGTCTTTGTATCCCAGACACCAGGACTAACCTCTCAGCCCAGAGCCACCACTGCTTCCTGATCCTTTGCATCCAGACCAACCCATTTCCTTCCTGTGGCCCCCAGGAACCCTCTAGGCCTGGTCCCTCCCTCACTCCCCTTTACTTCCCTGGGTGACACAGCCACCACCTTCCTGAGACCAGCATCTATCCTGGGCCCATCTCCCAGGCCATCCCAGCCCCCAGATTCTTGAGGGCAGCATCTTTCCTGGAGGGACCCAGACCTTAGGAGAAAGCCTGATATCATCTGAGCCTCATCTCACTTGGGTCTCTGTGGGAACTCCTGAAGACAAAAGCAATTAGGCCACTACAATATAAAACCAAAAGAGAGAACCTGAAGCCTAGACCAACCAGCTTTTCATGCTCAACAAGTAAACCACAAAGGCACATACAGTTACAAAAAGAAGCAGATCTAAACTCAACAAAGGAAGGCTTGAGTCTCACACAAGAATCAGAAACTATGAAGGAAATTCACATGTGAAAGTCACAAAGAAAAAATAATAACAAGAAAAACCAAAATAATATAACCCCACCAAATACGTATTCAATGTTCCTCTAGAGGAGTACAATGAGAACCCCCTAGAGATAATGCAGGACATAGAACTCAAAACAGCAATTATAAACATGATAAAAGAATTCAGTGAATTGAAAGAACACACACAAAAAAAATCAAAGAACTGAAGGAAGATAGGGATAAACTTCTGAATGAATTCA